TCCCCTCCCTCTCCCTAGCTGATAGCCCTTGTGCCTCCCCTCCCTCTCCCTAGCTGATAGCCCTTGTGCCTCCCCTCCCTCTCCCTAGCCGATAGCCCTTGTGCCTCCCCTCTCTCTCCCTAGCTGATAGCCCTTGTGCCTCTTCTCTCTCTCCCTCACTGTCAGGGCTGTACTATGTGGATTCGGAGGGGAACCGGGTGTGCGGGGATCTGTTCGCCGTGGGATCCGGCTCCATGTACGCCTACGGCGTGGTGGACAGCGGCCTGCGACAGGACCTGAGCGTGGAGGAGGCCTGCGACCTGGGCCGGCGCGCCATCTACCAGGCCACCTACCGGGACGCCTACAGCGGCGGCGTGGTCAACTTGTACCGTGTGCACAGCCAGGGCTGGGAGCGCGTGTCCCAGGACGATGTGCTGAAGCTCCACCTGCAGTACCGGGAAGATCGGGCCTAGGAGGGGGTGTGGTTTGGTGAGGGGGAGGGGCCTCTGATAGGGGAGTGGTCTTGGGGATGAGCAAGGATTCTATCAAATGGGTGTGGTCTAGTAAGGGGGTGGGGCTTTATGGAGGGGGAGGGATCTTGATGAAGATGGACTGTGTCCTGCAGAGTCTGAAATAACATTGTTTCTGTGAAGAAACTGTTCTGCTTCATGGGACATCTGTATTAGAATGTCACAAATCACAGCGTTAGGGGAGATGCCTGAAATTGTACGAATAGATAGGAGGTAGTTTACTGGGTGGAAGTGAGTGAGTTTTACTTGTCATGCACGTCGTATGAGTGCACACTAAAGTTATAGGTTGGCACTCATTAATATTTCCGTTATATTCATCTATTTGTTTTCCTGTTACCTGTTTGTCATTATCCCATGCAGTACCCCAGCAGGCCTGTCGAAGCTGGGGGCGCTGTCTCCTACTGTGTGAACGTGTCACCTCGAAGAACCTTTTGGCAGTCTCTCTTCCAGAGAGTTCACATTTTACTGGGAAAGACTTCTTCTCAATAAAGCTGGAAAATCTCTCCTTTGACTCGCTGGTTGCTGTTCTGCGGTTAATGCCTCTGCTTGTGTATTTGTTTTCTCTCCATTGATCCATAAATCTCTCTCTGAGCTGCCTTTCTGGTTTTGAAAAATCGCTTTGAGTTGTCCGATTTCTTTGTGTTTATTTGACTCCATTCTTCGCTTTCTCTCCCCGGTCCCCAAGCTGAAACGCTTCAGACCCTGAAAGAGTCATTATCCTCTTTGTACTTTGCCTCTGTGCTGTATATTTTCATACAGAATGTCCTTCAAAATTGGGACTAAACTAATTTCTGCTCTTCGGCCAAGTGAGAAACTAAATAATTTTGGGGGAAATGGATGCATATTAATTGGTCATTAAAACTAACATACTGCAGGTCAAACCAATGATTTAGAATTCAAACGCCCTGCGTGATCTTTCACTGTTCAGCAGATCTGTTTCCATGGGTCCATGAGTGTCTGCACATCCATGGTTCTAAACTGAACATGTAAAATCCTTGGCTTGTGTTTCAGTTGTGTGAATGACGTGGCCGACTTTTCTGCTTCCTGTTCCTTCTCGATTTAGTAGACTGTGTTTCACCATCCTCACCTGGAGGAATATAAGATAAATCCTTTATTTGCCATTTGCATGGGTATGAATAGAGGTACAATGAAATTCATCTCACTCTCCATAGCTTGGGGATCACAGTGCAGGTCAGCCAATGTGCGGGGCCCCTGGAGCTGGGGGTTAAGGGCCTCGCTCAAGGGCCCTCAAACATGTGACTGTTATGATGAGGCCGGGGCTCGAACCAGCGATCTTCCGATCATAGTTACAGAAACTTAGCCCGCTAAGTACAGATCCTGCACAATTCATTCCGCCGCCGTTACATCATCAGTTGAAGTTAGGCAGCCTGTTTCCGTGACGATGGTCTGTAAGCAGGCCTTGACTGCTCCTGATTCGCCGATTCCCTTCCCCCGCCATTCTGTTCCTTTCTCCACACGTTCTCCTTGATCGTCACTTTGGAATAAAGTTTACTGGAAAGGTGAACCCTTTCCCCGCCTCATCTTCCTGCCTTTGAACAAATTCAATTTTGCTGTTCTTCATGCTGATGAAAGGGTTGCGTCATGTGGATCAGCCCTCAGCACCTGTCTGCTCCGCTCTTTCTGAGGCCCTCGTCCCGACACGGTAAGGATCTCGCCGGGTCTCATTTTATGGTCCCTGCTGTGGATTACCGTGGTGTTTCATGGCCGGGGCTCTGAATTGTTCGCCCGTCGGTGGTCTCGCTGCTTCCGAGATCGTCCTTGTGGCGTCTCCAGTGTGCTGTGGTACCTCTGCCCAGGTTCTGTTTAGAGGGCTTTTTTTCCCTAAAACATGAAAAAATTGGTGTTAATTTTGACTTCAGCTTGGTGGGGGTGTAGTTGAGGATTTGTGTCGCCTCACATCTCTAGAAACCAGTTGGGGGGGTTCGAGTCCCCACCATGGCTCCATGTATGTGGAGTTCCATGTTCTTCTGTTGTGGTGGGGCTTGCTCTGGTTTCTCCAGCTTCCCCCCCCCCAAAAAAAAACATGCTAAGGAGAATTGGATTTAGTAAATTGTCTGTAGGTATGACTGTTCATATCCTGTGACGGGGGGGCGCCCCATCCTGGGTTATTCCCTGCCTTGTGCCAATAGGCTCCAGACTCCTGTGTCCCTGCATAGAACAAGCTGTTATGGATGATGGATCACTTCAGAATCAATATATAATCTTTACTTGGAGTTTTGTACACTATTCTCCACTCTGCTGTTTATCTTTGTCCTGCTTTATTGGTAAAACGGAGTGGTCTCTCCATCCATCCATCCATGGGGGGGTGGGCATGGCGTGGTGTTTATCCCAGATAAACCAGACTATGCACTACAGGCCCTTCAGCCATGCCGGTTCGCCTAGCCCTGCGTCTTTGACCTGTGGAAGGAACCCCACTTGACATGAGGAGAGCATGCAACAGTCTGCATGCCCAAGGAGGTGAGATTCGAACCCTCAACCTTGCATTGAGACAACAGTACTACTCAATAATCCACTGGGCCAGGTGAAATGTCTTAACTGGAATTTAACATGGTTCTCAAGAGGCTACACTTATTCTAAGGAGACGTTCAGCAAGACCCCATGTCACGTTCACCTGTCACAGAAAAAGATTTATCAAAATATATCCGTTTTCCATTATAACCCACAATATTGGGAACATGGCAGCTGTATGGAATTATGATGTATTGAGTTAAACGTTTAAAATTACAGCTCCTCAGGCACAGCTGTCAGAGTCGCAAGACAAAAGGTCTTTGAGGCTCCAGAAAGAGCATATTTTATGCCTCGCCACGTCATCCGAACGTGCGGCCGTTTTGATTTTCCTCGGCCTGGATGTTCGTTTAAAACAAAAAAAAACAGATATCCGCCTTTATTTTCCCCGTGGGTTTTTTCACGCCGAGTTGACGCGTTGCGATTGCGAACATGCGAGCGCTGTCGTTTAGCCGATGAAAAGCCCGTGATTTCACAGGTACCTGTCAGCTGGAAACTCTGGCGTGCCGTTCCTGCGGCCCGCCGTGGCTTTCATGTTTTTCAGATTTCTTTTTTCCCCCCACTAAATATTCTATCAGTTTTTGTGGGGAAAAAAAATATATCAATTTTACCACCCGTGAACGTTGTCAGATTTACCTTAACACCCAATCAATTGTGGACAGTTTTATTTTCGCATTTCATATTGTGGCTCTGCCCTGATACTCCAGCACCTTAATTAGTGCCTAATTACTCGCCCACACAATCTTATCTACTGCTGAAGCTTCCCTGCTGAACCGATTGTCCCATAATGTTTCCTGTTTCAAAGTTCTGCTGCTTTAGTTCTCCCACGCTTGTAGACCTTTAATTAAAAGGTCATTATGATCGCTGTCAACTTCAGCTGGGTGTGGGCTATATAAAATGGGTAAAAGGCCGTGGTAGTCTTCTTCATGAGGAAGGCCTTCTGTTAGATATTGCATTACCCTAGATGATTTTGTAAGTTGTAATTCATTAGATTGGTGTTTCCCAAACCAGCCCTCGGGGTCCATGATAGGTAGCTGGGAGGGAGCAAAAATGTAGACTGTCTGAAAAGGAGCTCGGAGGGAGCAAAAATGTACACTGTCTGAAAAGGAGCTCTGAGGGAGCAAAAATGTACACTGTCTGAAAAGGAGCTCTGAGGGAGCAAAAATGTACACTGTCTGAAAAGGAGCTCGGAGGGAGCAAAAATTTAGACTGTCTGAAAAGGAACTCGGAGGGAGCAAAAATGTGGACTGTCTGTGGGTCCCTGAGACTTGGGCTGGGAAACACTGCTTTAGATGATAACATGGCTGCTCTTTGTTCAGCCCTTATGGTCATTCACAGGCATGTAGCCACGTAGTAAAGTTATGGGTTTGAACCATGCTCCCGACCCAGCATGTAGCCAGGTAGTAAAATAACGAGTCTGAACCTCCTTCGAAATTCATTCCTGGCTCTGGGCCTGGCCATTCGCATTTACAGCATCCTGGATGTTTCTGGTCTCTCCCTGTTGCGGAGGTCACTTGGGGTCACAGTGTAGCTCCGCCTTTCATTCATTAGTTTCGTCAGGTTTGTTTTGCTGGCGTTTCTGTGCCGGATCCTTCAGCTCAGCCTCTCAGAATCCCCGCCTCCTTCCCCCAATAATGAAATTCAGCTCAGAATCTGCTCCTGGCCTCATTCCCAGGCTACCGAGCCTTTGTCTGCTTTCCCTTTTCATTTCCTCTTGTTCCCTGGAATGACTTCACTCCGCCGTGGTCTGGTGGAGGGCGGAGAGAGCAGGGGAGGTGCAACTCGGCCCCTGTTTGCGTCCCGCTGCTTAGGCCGGCGGGTAAAATGTCATCGGCTCGTGTTTGCCCCCCAGCCAGTCCTGCCCCCTCAGTTCTGCCCGCCAGTGAGGTGTGCAGTGGCTTCCCATCATCTTCCTGAGCACTGGATCAATCTCGCCTTTCCCGCAGCTGCACTTGAGCGCCCCCTAGGCCCATATCGTAAACCCGGTCATGACACGAGGCGACACGTCCGCCGGCAGTAGGAGGATAATGGTGGAGCTCCAGTTCCTTGAGTAGCTGGTTAGTGAAGGCACAATTTAAAATAGGACCACTTGGCGATTTTGGCTTGTGGGGTGAAGGTGGACGCTTTCACAGCGCGTCGTCGACCCTGTGAGGCAGACATTTCTCCCAAGGGCGCCCGGCCCCCGTTAATGACCAAATAACACATGCCATTTTATTTGCATTACCGGGTCAGTTTATCTTCCCATGTCCGGGTCTGCAGATGTAAGTCAGGCTGATCTCTCAGCAGCATCGGAAGCTGACCTGCACTCTGCCTTTCGGGCTAAATAATGAGCCCCCCCCTTCCCCCCCCACTGCCTCCGAGCAGATGGGCCTGATATATTAATAAATACATCAGGGTGGGAGAGAAAGCCGCGGCAGACAGACTGATCGGAGTCGCGCGGTCACGGCACCCGGCGTCTTTGAGGTTCCTCGGCGCTGCGAGCAGCCTGTCCTTCCAGCGAGGGTTAATCTGCATCTCTGGCCCTCGACCACGAATGCGAGCGGTCAGCCTGGACGCCACCGGAATGGGAAAAGCCCCGGCGGGACGGTCTGACCCTGGCCTGCAAGATGATGCCGTTCTTTTGGTTGTGCGCCCACATGAGGGGGGGCCGTGCGGGGGTGGACATAGCGTGCCAGCCTGGAATGTTATAAACAGGGGCAATTCTAGGGGGGTTTTTTAAGGTGGGGAGCATAAGAGGTTCCATAATTCATACAGAGAGGCAAACCCTATCATTAGCCAATGATGTGATTTAAACAGGTGACTGACAGAGGAGTGGGACCTCCAGAGGCCAATCAGCTTTCAGCTGGGGCCAGTACCCCGCCCCTGTATACAGCGCTGGTTGTAACATTGTGTCTGTGCAGCAGTTGGGTTCTCTGTAACTGGACTGTTGCATTGGCCCTCAGCATCCTGGGCCCAATGCACCACAGACCCAGAGTCCCCCAGGCC